TGAAACAAATTACACAAAACCTTCTAAGTAACATTTCCTCACACCCCAGAGACTTCTAAGAGAGATCTCATTTTCATCATTCCTCAACTCAACAGAAGGCTTTCAAGCCATACAGCTACACGAGTTTTAGATGATTTTTGTCCTTGTTTTTATTGGCCATGATGATCAGCATTTGATAACACCGTTAAGAACTGTCACAATTTGTGATCATTACAGTTCTCCCCAGCTGTCAAACCAGCGCTTATCTCTGGCCCAATTAGTTTTTGAGAATAAGCTGGGATTTGGAGTGATTCATCCCAAATCCTGAAGTGTCTGGCACGCAGTGGTGACATTGGCTGATCGTTCTGTTCCTTGTAGGCATCTGGAAATAGTTTATACAATCATCAGAGCCAGAGCTGTCTCTCACACAATGCTGGGTATAATTCTTGAACCCCAGAGAACCAAGCCAAGGGACTGCATTTTTCCGTGTCTTGTCTCCCCCTTCTTAAAGGGTGCACAAAGTTTTTCTCCAAATTAAACCATGGGAAATTATTGCTAGGAAGATTTCCCTTTAAGTGTTGTTGAGGGATTCAGATCCCTCAGCATCCTCCCCCACATCAGCAATTCCTTAGCTGAACTTCTGTCTGAATGAAACCAGAAAGCTATTAAATTTAACAAGGGGGGTGGGGGGAGGTCTGACTAGGGGAATAACAGCATTTAGCAACTAGGGGAAGCTGCCCATTGTATCTGTTTTATTCAGGGAAACTACGCGTTTGCCCTAATAAATAACTTCACAGCTTGGCTGGGATACAATTATAAAAATACTGCACAAATTGTGTATTCCTAGATAGCTGCTTCCAAGTAAAAATCTAATGATGTCAACAGGTTCTGCATGAAATTAGGTCCTCCAGCCTGAATCTACTTGCAGGACCAGCAACTGTCAACAGCTACTGCAGACTGTGGAGAGGACTACATCCCTGCTTAATGCTTCCAATTATTGAGCTAGAAGGGACTCTGCTAATCATAATCCATGTGCACATGAAATAGTCTATTCAAAGGTCTTCTCTTTCACAGAGAAGACCTTGAGAAAGCTGTCTCAGGTTTGAGGTTATCCATTATTTCTGGGAAGCATAAAAAGCACACATCAGACTAATTTGGCACTGGAAAGAATAGATGCAACTGTATGCTGGCTTTGCCTGCATACAAACTCATGAACATCAGTGTCAGAGCTAAGGCATGAATTTAATCACAATTTCCTTCATGAATACACGTAAAAATATCTCTCTCTCACATCTACTTTGAAGAAAAAAGGAGCAAAACTCATTTTTTGTTCATTATCTAACAGCCAAGACTAGAAAAGCCATCAGTCTCAGATGCAAATGCTCATCTTTGCAGAAAATTATCCAGTAAAAGCAATGAGTTTGGAAATGAATTGCGTTGTACTCTTATCATAAACCAACAGAGCATGAATATTTGAGGCCAAATTTCTCTCTATCCAAATCCATCTTCAGAACCAACAGCCATGAAAGCACATTCTAAAGACATCAAAACTTCATAACTCAGAGCTTTGAGGTAAGAAACCTCATTGAATAGTACCTAGTCTGAAGATGAGCTGAAATATAAATCAGAGTGAAACTGATTTGCCTTTGTCTAAAGACACAAATTCTGTTCTTTTCAAGACAGCTTGTTGCAAAACTAAAACTCTATGCTCTATGGAAACAGATTATTTTTCTTGTACATGAGCAAATCTTTCAGAAAGAATCTCAAAATAATTAAAAAAACCCAGAATTCTTTATTTTTAAGAAAGTTTATCTTACCCTTCCACGCTGGATTATTTTCGGTCGTTTCTGTGCTCTATTAATAAAAACTGGCTGTGGAGCTTTGGCATTGGGCCCAGATATTTGCATCTCAGGATAGATATTATCTAAATACCACTTAAATGACTTGCAGTTCAATCTTTTTCTCAAGGCTACACGGTCGGTAATATTTCCATAGTTCCTCATCCTTAGCTCAGGTCTCAAAGCAAAATACTGCTCCTGTATTTAAGAGAAACAGGTTGGGGGCAAGGGGAGAAGAATTTCAGATTATTGATTTCCAACTTTTTCCTGTCTGTAGAACTCCCAAAGTTTTATTTCATTTGGTTAGTGCTTTCAACCATTAAGTCTGAAACTGGCATTAGGAAATTCCAGTGGTTTAGATTGCCATAGGAGGCAAGATTTATCTTGCCTAACTCTGAGCTAATCTTTCTAGGCGGCTTTTTTTGATGAAGACACTTCTCAGCCATCAATTTGCTGACCTTTTTTAGATGCCAGCTTGAGAAGGAAACAAATCAGCCCTACACTCCATTGGCAATAAACGCATCCTAGAGTCATTAGGTCAGAAACAGATGCGTATATCGTCATCATCCTCATCTGGCCAAGGTTTCTTTAAATTGATTTCATAGTCCAATTGATTGTTTTCATTGTTGTGGGATTTAAGTGTATTTTGTCTTCCACAATTTCCAGCCTTCCAACTTTACAAGTTACCAGGACAAAAAAAATTCCATAGCAGAACAGACCTATAAATCTACATCTTGCAAAGTTCAGGGGGACCATGCATTTATTCCCATGAAGAATCAGAACTGTCACCTCGGCTTTCTGTGAAGCCCAGTTTTTTCCATTCACCTCCAACATCTCCAAAAAGGCTCCTGCAACATCATTTTTTCATGTTCTAATTTATAATTATACTTGGAATTGTACCTGGTTAGGCAAGCACGGATTAAGATTCCAGCTCAATCTTATGTGCTGTTTAACTCTAATGCAGAGACAATGGGGACAAACAGGAATTCATGTACAATGTGGCATAAATACTATTACCAAAACTATAAGAAGAATCCCTTTGGAGAGTCTTTAATTCCAGCTAGATTTACAGAGCGCACAGAAAAGGCATTGTATTTGCACATTAACTAGTTTACTAGATATTATTTAGAAGTCAGTTTTCAGGGCACTGAGCTATGGTATTTTGTTAGATTATCTGTAGTAGACATCTGGAATTTACTTACCATAATGTGGTTCTGACAGTTTTCAATTACCTACTGCTGTCTCTGATATGCAGATGACAGACAGCGTCATCTCAAGACAAATTACACATCTGTCCTTATCAAGATCTTTGAGCATTTGGATGCAGTTGATGTATCACTGCTATTTTAATAGCAGAGGAAGGGGAAACATTAAGTACATTGGACTGTTGGACAACTCTGAGGAAGTTTGGAGATAGACTGGACATCACTATCACAAATTGGTCTGCCTCAAAAAAGCAGCTCTGCTATTCCAATTGCCTCTTTCCTGGTTAAAGTTCAAATTTTAGTATCCTACCTCTTATGCATTATTTATTTCCATTGTATACATGAACTTACTACTTTTACATTTTGCTTTTGACAGTTATGAAAATTTTGCTGTTTCCCTTCCATTATGCAATTTTATTTATTAAATATTGGTATTTGCTTTTTGCTGCAAAACAGGTTAAGTCTTATCTTTGTACTATCCATCATACAATCACTTCAGTAAATGATACTGGCCCTAAATATTTGCATTACACTTATAAAACCAAAAATATTTCCAGGCTTGCCTTCCATACATAAATCTGTCATTATAACAGTCTCTGGCAACTATCAGAGAATTAGATTAGAAACAGCTGGAAAAGTTCAGAACACAAGTCTGTGATAAGAGACTGCTGGAATCAGCAGTTCAAGTCCTTGTTGGACAAAGCAGTCTTAGCTGAAAATTATAACAAAGAATCAATTCCAAGCTTCAGAGAAAGCCATCATTAATCACAAAACAACTGTGCCCAAACACCAATAAAAGAGAAAGCGATAGATCAAATCTATCAATGCATTATGGAGAATGGAGATAAAAATTAATGACCCCTAATAGGTTCCTCAAACTGACTGAACATCAAGATAAAGGACGGAATTTGAAACAAACATTTACAGCATGTAGAGTTAATAAAATATGTCTTGTATAGAAATTGTAGCGACCACAGGAGCTGGCCACACAGCAAATCCTATGGTCTCACAAGGCAAAATGTCCTCAATTATTACAGGGATCAAGGCTTCACAAAAACCTGATCTACACTTAAAACCATCAGTACCAAGATCTGAAGACAAGGAAGGAATATGCTTGCCCTTGAATCCAGAAGTCAATCCTGATTGATCTTCCAGGGCAAGACAGACTAAGAATCAGACTGCTAATTAAAACAGAAAGCAAACAACCAACCAGCAAAATCCCTGTCTTACCAACACGGAAACTATCTGAACGCATGTAGCAGTAGTATATGGCTGCCATGTAATACAGATTTGGACACAAAGCAATGCAGAGCTTACAAGAACTCATTCATCATTTTCACTTCACTAAAAAGGCATAAAACAATCTCCTGCAGGCAGCAGAAGTAATAGGGAGTAGACTTGAGCACTCAAAAGCCAGATGACAATCCTACAGAATTTAGGAATTCATATCAAATTTAACATTAGGAAATTAGACTACAGAAGTAAGACCCCATTACAGATGCTGAGACCCCACTGTGATACAGTCCTCTGACAAACAAGCCAGTTAATAACACTATTTCATGACCTAGAATTGACTCTTACCTTATATCCATCCATCCACACATGTGCCAGTCTCAGTGAGTTATGAGCCATAGTGTCCTGTCCCCCTGGTGAGCCATAGGGACGCCTTTTACGAAAAATGTGTCCCACCCTGGAACAGGGGATGATCAGAAGTCTACCACCACACATCCAGATCTGTCCACACAAAACCAGAACACACCTCATTGTACATATACTGACAGGGCTCCCTACCTCCTCCCCTTCTTCAACGGATACTTAGGTAGGTTTATACATGATGACACAATTAGGTGTCAGCAATGTTGTCCTACACATCATGATTTCTGACAAGTTAAATTAATAAACCTTCAGGTTAGAAAAGACTGTTTTTGTCATATCACACTTTCCACATAACACATCATGGCTTTCATGAAACAAATAGTAATCTTCTAAAATTTTGTGCTCCACTGACCTATTAGAAAACACTGAAATATACGGGCTAGGATTCAACTTGCAGATTAAGATTTCTAAAGCTGTTTGCCTACATGACAATTACATTCCACACTTCCACGATAGATAATGAAGATCAGTCAATATCATCAAGGGAGCATGGAGAGCTTTTCAACTAAGTATAAGCACCTATTTTACACAGCTGTTTATTTCTGTTAAGTATATGGAAACTCAGAAATACTGTTCACATTCAAATACTACATTTAGGTGCCTTAATCCAGCTCCATTGCACCCCAGATCTAGGTTTCCTTTACACACTACTTCCATTTATTTTTTAAATTTCTTTTTAAAACTTCAGCTTCCAGCAAATTACCATTATTGGCCTTTGTTGGACTAACGCGTTCTCCAATCTCAGAAAAGTCTTCTCACATTAGCAGTTTATAATCAAGTCACTTTTAAAACTCTTCCTGGATAAGGTAAAGACTAAAGTTCTTTACAACTCTTGCCCAGGCATAGGGAGCTTCCAGACCTTATAAAGCTCTCCGAATATACTCCGATTTTTCGAAGCCCTTTTTATTGAAACTGTGTATAACACAGTAACAACAATAATTTCCTCACACTCCTCCTCCTATATCTAATAACTATGTTTTGAAAGATTTTATTTATTCAATGCCTACCCCTTTAAAGTCACTCAAATATATGAAATGCCCGTTCTTATTTTTGAGCTCTAATCTTGATTTCTCTAATGATCCAATCTGCCAGATTTCTCTAAGTTTTGGGGGTTGTGTTTGGGTTTTTTTGTTTGTGAGATTTTTTTTTTTAATGTTAACTTCACTTTTTAATCTCCTTTACCTATTTGTTATGATAGCATCTCATTTTCAGGCAGACTCTTGTCAAACCTGTTGATGAATCCACTTTACAAAAGTGAAGCGGTAAACATGACACTGAGCACAAAAAGTTGGTTTTCTTTCAGTGGACTGACAGGGAAGATGAGATAAAATGTAGGAAGCCAAATGACGTATCACTTTCGGGTCTCCTGATTACAACCTTCTCATTATTTTCCCAACAAAGCTGACTCCTCTACATGACTCTTATTTTAGTTATAAAATATTTATATTTCCAGGCCCTCAAAAAGGAGGCTGAAGTGTCTGAAAAGCCCCATATATGTCTAAGGACATACAATAAGCTTACTTGTTATCAGTGTTGCTGAGCCACACATCTTTTTAACCAACTTAAAATTCATTAGACATTGCTTATAAACTCATTTCATATATTTGCATGATTATTCTTGTCTTATGCTTCTCTACAGGTATTATGAAATGCTCCACCAAACAAAGAAAAAGCCCCAAACACTTAACTACAGAGCTCAAAATTCTCTTTACTCTTCCTATTAAAACTTAACTTGAAGATCATTGTAAAGGCAGTTACTGTGCGCTGAAGGCATCCTTCCTGGGAATAAAAGTGCCAATTTCTGTATGCAAATTGCTATTCCAGTGCTAAAGAAATTGTACATAGAGAAGAGAAGCAGCCAGACACTGAGGTTCATACTCCAATACACATAAAAGCTAGATTACCCGAAAAGATATTTCCAGATTTTCTCCTCCCCAGATGTCCATGCCACTATCATATTGTCCAAGTTCATTGAAGTACTCACGGTCCATGGCAAACAGGCCTCCAGCCATAGTAGGTGACCTAAAAAGGAATATTGAAAGAAGCTCATTTTTTTAGAGAAGAAAACCCAGTAATTTTAGCTGAAACAGCTAGTCTTAAAGCTTAAATTTAGACCTGCATAATACAATTTAAATCCTGTAGCCACTAGAAATCATCAAATCACACCTTTCATCTCAAAACATTTTCAAAAGAAGATCTGTAAGTGGTGTTTGTGATCTTTCATGATTCCAATACCTACAAACCATATTTCTTTGTATAGTAAACTTGAGGAAAAGGGATAGGATAGGGAAAAAGGAACAAAGTGGCTGTCTTGCTACTAAGAAAAAAAAGTAAAAACGTGCGCAAGTTTGGAGTCCATCAAGTTTTCTACAGTGCAACTTAGGAGCTGCCTTTAATTAGACCTGTCTTTACTAGAAGCTATTTCCCCTACAGTCACAAATGTGTACACTTGCACGCAATAATGTGTTCTTCTCCCTCTTACATGGGCAAATTATACAGACCAGGCTTAACTGAACTGCAGAAGGAATAGAATCCAGAGTATACATTACTTTCCCATATTAAATTAGATCAAGAAACAAGGTCCAAATTTAAATTATACAAGACAGGAGGCTGCTAAAAGAAATACTACTCTATCTCAATAGATAGAATTTAAATACCAGGAGCAGTGTTGTTTCATCATTGATGCAATGATCAGTTTATCGGTAAGTTTTTTACAGTTTTTAAATTTGCATAGATATTCTCTTTGGGGTTTCCCAGTTCTTTGCCTTGCCTGTGTTACTAGAATGGTGCTCTGTTTTGCAAAGATCTGTATATGATCCCCACTGTACAGTCTCTAGATTGAATTGCTACTGTATCACAAAGTTATCTTATGTGGATGCCCTAAAAGAGTATAAAAGAGACTAAAACATGATATGATAGTTGGAACATACAATGGGCTGGGAACATGCTTTTTCTCATCCTTGTTAATAAAAACCTGTGATGAAACCAAGCCTAAGTCTGGATTTCCTTGCTTGTTTCTCACACAATTTTCTACTACAGTTTCTGTCATTAAAACCTGGGTTGAAAAGTTGCTCTCAGTTTTTCCATCCCTGACATCAAAAGATTTCATTATGAAGGTCTCTAAAATGTAGAACGTAAGACTTTCCATTTGATGGAAAGCCATTTTCAAAGGTTAAATAGCAATCTAGCTTCTTTTTCAAAGCAGGCAGAGACCTCTAAGTAGGAAAAGTCACTTTAATACTCAGAAAAATGTAAGCTTTTTGGATGATTAGACTCCCTCCCTGCCTTTTCCATGGGAGTTTTTCCTAAAAGGGAGCTGAAGGAATGCAATAACAGTGTCGAACACAGCAAGAACTAACCTTCAGGCATGGCCCAGATAAACTGTGAGAACAGTTCTGAACAGAATAAGGATTTTAAGGTGGTCTATGCTGGTTCCCCATTCCGATTTTCCCAGTCTGTCCTCTCCCTTCTAGCTTCAGAAACCACCACAGTGACACCTTCCAAACAAGTCAGTCAAACTGTTAAGTTACTTAAGGAGTTTCCTGGCTTCTCAGACCAAATCTTCAACGGGTAAACGTGGAAAGACAAACTGCAGAGCTGTCAGACCACAGCAGAGAACCTTGTGCTGGAGCTGCTTGCATCAGCCTGAAATGCTCTTCATTTACAGTCCAAGAAAAGAGAATGAGAGAGACTGCCCAATTTCTGATTCACTTTCTAAGTCTTTTAGAAGTACCACATTCTCTGCAAGGAGTCAGTTTGAAAAGAAGGTAAAGTTCTTCCACTTTACAAACCTGAATTCTGTACTGAGAGGGATGCCTACAATTAGACAAAGCACAATCAGCTTCTTGCCGTGGCTCTACCAGCACCGGCCCTTCTCATGAAGGATTCACACTGGGACAGCTTCTACTTTCATGTCTGAACCATATGTGTCTGCTACTAAAAAAAGGTGTCTAGCGATTTCATTTTATAAGTCATGTCCAGTAGGAACCAGATATTGCCAGTTCTGTACAGGCAAGACAGCTATCAATGGTTAAAAGATTAAGAAAGGTAACCTTCAAGTCCTAGTGTTAAGCTTTAGCAAGACTTTTGTTTCAGAACAACTCTCAAGCAATTCAGACTACAAAAACAATATGGACAGACTTCCAACAGACAGTTTTAGGCATTTGCCTCTTTGTGCAAAGAGACAAGTAATATTTTAAAGATGGTTTTTCACATCCATGTGTGTTCATTTAGGAAACTTTATGACAAAATAATTGCTTGTTTGGGGAAAAATATAAATGAAATCTAAAGCAAAAAATTGATGTTGACATAGAAAATTACCATATGCTCTGACGTTCTCTCCCATCAGCTAGGAAACCACCTTCCTATTACCACAAAAACATATTTTCCCAATCTAGCAATTTTTTAGCATTTCATCACAGAAATTACAGAGTCTGTATTAGTGGGATATGCAGGCTATTACTAGCACAAAGGCGGTTATCAAAATCATCATTAAGCCACACACATCAACAGACTGGAAACAAACATCAATGCATAGCTCAAAAGTTAAATTATTGGACAGATTTAATACAGAATAGCATAAGCTCCTTAAGACTTTTGTCTTCAGCAAAAGCTGCTGTTGTACAAGCATTCTCTAAAAATGTGCTTTCTTGACCTAACAGGACAGACCTATCTAATTTGTGATTAAATGCAAGAAATTAAACTGAAATTGGTAATAGAAACCAAAACTATTTCTAAGTAAAATAAACAAGTCAGGTATTTGACAGGTTAGGCATCTGCTTCTAAAACTGCACACCCAGATCACTCCATCACGTTCAAGAAGTGCTTCTGATCATCCATATGTTACGCAGAGCTTCACACCACGTAGGAGGAACCTTACTTGATTGGGGCAGTGGCTCCCTCGGGTCCTTCCAGTTCTGACAAAGGAACAAGATCCCACTTAAAGTGCAGGCCCCAGTTAAACCCTCCACGCACGACTGGGGAAGAGCTGTAGGTCAGCGTGTCAGCACTGATTATGTCAATCACAGGGCACACCACAGTCCTGCGATCTTCTCTGATGGGAGCCAGCAGAGGTTGTAACCACATCTCGTTCACCTCACAGTGACTGTCCAGGAAGACCAGCACTTTCCCTACAGAGGCCAAAGCACACAAGACAGAGATCCATGGTAACGTGAAGCACACAAACACATATACAATTATATCAGCAGCAGAGTATCGGCAGTAACCTCACCATCCTGTGTAACAGAGGGGAAACACCGGCAAAACCAGAGACTCCACAGGGACTAGTTCAGTCACAAAGGCAGAAAGTAGATCCTGGTTATTCACATTTAGCTATGAATTGCTCAAGTGGGCCGTTAATTGCATTTCTTTGACAGGGTTTTATAGTCATCACATGTTCTACCCAGATTCAGCAGAGCTACAGTATTTAAAATGAAGCATCATCAGACCAGCACTCAGAGTCAGGCGGTGCATTTGTCCTAATGCAGAGCACCTCCCATGCCTGAGTTAGACTACAGAGATAGCCGAAGATGACAGATACTGGGCTGGATGAACTATCCCCATGACAAAGCTGGTTTTGTCCACTGACTGCAATCACCTTAGGCTCGCTTTATATCACACTTCATCATCCATCCAGTTATTGCTGCAGCTAAGATCTGTGGATTTTAAACAAAGCTATTCTGATTAATCTATCTGCATTCATCCATGACACAGGCCACAACATTTCAGTTCCCGAATATAAAGTAACATAGAGCATTTCCCCATTTCATTAGCTCTAGAGTGACTGTGGATTCATACCAGTTTAAAAGGAGAGTGAATGCCCTAAATGGGCATAGCCAAATCCACCAGTACTAGGCCAAGCAAGACTTCAGTCCCATCAGTTTACATGGGGATTATCCACCATGGTCGGAGAGGACAGTTTGATCCACCAGAGACCTTCAGGCTCAGTTGGTCTAAAAAGTTTTTTTATGACACAACATAAAATTTATGTAACACTAGAATAACGTGGAAGAGATGGGAAAGAGCTTTCAAGAAAACAACTTAGAAACATACAAATATAATGAGTCACCCATTAACAACAGATAGTATTTGACTGAGGAGGGAAAAAACCAGACTCCAGCAGTTCAGAAAAGCAATAAAATGACTGAAAATTGCACTAACTCAAATGAATCCTAGCACAGCTTGGAAAGTGCAAGCACAATTTTCTCTCTGGATTATGCCATTACAATGCTAATGAGTAAACACCAATTAAGAGACTTTATCTGCCACTCAAAATTACTTGAGCAAGTAGCACATACTTTCTCAGAGACCAGAGAATTTAACTAGGAAGCATATTATGGTAAAAGGCACACAGCGTACGTAAAGCACCAAACATAGTTTATCCCAATTAACAACCACTGCAACAATAGAAAAGTTTGTATGAGAAACATTACAATTAGATGGGTGAATTAGAAACCAGATTAGAGTGTACCTTGATAAGGAAGCAAATTGCCATTTTAGAGCAATATTTTTCACACAAAACATGCAGAAAATATTCTGTAAACACAATATCCAGCACACAGGGAGATGTTCCTGAGACAACATTCTTTCAGGGCAGGAATACGGAAAATTCTACACTGCCTCACTAAATTTTGTCAAATACTGGTTTTGTTTTATTATTTCACTGACATGTTCTAATTAATGAACTCATTTTATTGAAAGCAAACTTACCTAGGAAGAAAAAAAAAATAGAAATCAATGGTTCAGACAAAGCTTAAGAAACACTTAAATTTGGCTCCGAATTTGCCAAGTCACTGTTTGGGTGACTTGAAAAAAGATCTCATGCCTCTTGCACAGCAAAAATTTTCTAAAGTTAATTACAAACTATAAAAACAGTTAATTTATTACATCTATTCTATATTTATGCATGAGCAAGTACCAAGTCCTCCTTGATTGCTTCTCATTAAGTAACAGTCTCAGGTGAGGACTAATTCAGTAAAGCTATGAGGAAATACTGGAGAAAGCTTTATATAGATCACGGTCAACAGCATGATGTAAACATTTAAATACACAGGTAATGTAAGGTAAGGTCTCCAACCATCATTGTACAGGTATCACTGAAGACACTTTGTGTAGTTGTTGCAACATAGGTTAATGTAACAGCCAAAGATCAATGTAATTAACTCATTTCAACAAAGTCACTGATATTCTGAAACAATTGCTAAAATGTCTTTCACCTAAGACAGCATTATCCCACATCTTTCTTCCCCTGTGCTAAGCTGTGTAGCTTAGAACATGGCATGACATGCAGAGCCCCCAGAGTGGGCTAAAGCAATCACGGGTCAAACATTCAACATCTGAAAGAGCTGCACTACAGAAAGAGAAGCCACCCAATTAACATAGGGTCAAAGTATACAAGGGACAGAGAAATAAGAAAGTATACCTGTGGCATGAGAGGCTCCAATCATCCTTCCTCGAATCAAGCCTTCCCGCTTCTCATTTCTTACCAATTTTGTGGTTTTTGGAAGCTGAGTTTTAACATATTCACCCAGGTCTTTCTTCAAGTCAGCTGAAAAAAGGAAACCACAAGTTCAACAACAGGATGGAAATTGTGAAAGCTTTGTTTAAAGTCTCAAGATGTTCAACTCAAAAAGGGCCCAAAACTTGATCAAAAAGCTACCCCAATACAGCACAGCTTCAAACCAAGAGTACCAAAAGGATAGTCAGCCATCCCACAGCCTACACCTGCCCTCTTAACTCCTGTGGCCTTTTTTTATTGTTTTATTCTCATCTTTTCCTACTGACCACTTCACTTTTTCCTGCTGCATTGTGGAAACCCACACGGACAAAGCAGTTACATACCATGCACTGAAAAGGGTGATGGACTATATGACTGAGCCTTCCACAGTGCACATTCC